GGCTGGCAGGAACTTGATACAGCTGCTTTATGGGAACTAGTGATGAGGCAAAAGAGAAATTTCTTATATGGTTGCAAATTGTGTGAAGTGTGGAGATCTGTTAAAGATAAGAGTTTGTGGAGACAAAGCTGAAGTTAGCAGAGCCAAGAATTTATTTTAAAAAAATATATATATATTTTAAGCTCCCACAGTACTAACCCCATTTTTGCTAATATAAAAATGAGGAGTATTGACTGGTAATATGTTTTGTGCTTTGAGAGCTTATGAAGTTATGAGATTTTAGCAGACATGTGGGTGTGGGTGTGTGTTTGCGCGCGCCTGTGTTTGTGTGTGTGTGTGTGGTTTGTTTTGATTTAATTAATTGAGAACTAAGGTAACCAAACATTTATTGTGATAGGCAAATGTAATTGTATTCCATGCTGGTCTCCCCAGTGCTATCTTATTATCTAGAAAAAAATGTTTTAATTTTTAGTGGTGACTCACACCTTTAATAATTTCTTAAAATTAAAAAAGCTTTTAAAATGTCTTAATAGTATTTCTAAGAGTTCTCCAAATACTTTTTTAAAAATCTCTGTTACTGAGACTCTTTATTTGGATTACTGCACAGTTAATGTGTCTATAGATGGCAATAACTTGCTCCCAAGAAACATGTGGGAGATGTTTCTTAAATCTTGATGTTGTGATAAAACTGTTATTTTTAAAAATATTTGAGTCAGGCTAAAAAGAATATTCTGATAATAAAAAAGTTTACCTTAAGTCTTTTGAATTTTGAATTGTAACATCAGCAGAGACATTTTTTTTTAGACGTGTAGATTTTGGGTGGTTTCAAAGCTGTATTTCATTCTTTTTGCCAGTTTGCATATTTGATAATTTTCATTATCTTTTTCTATTAAGTAGGAAATATGAAATGTTCCTATAATAAGAAAAAGGAAAGAGAAAGAAAAAAATACACATTAGGATGATATACCTTGAGATTCCTATTAGGACTTACTTTTCAGAAATTGTTGTAGGCACTAAATTAATATATATAGATTTTCTATAGTAAAAGTCAAAATTATAACCATAAGTAGACTGCTAAAAACATGTAGAGTTGTTTATGTGACAGTCATCTTTCATTTAAGATCAAATTGGTTATGACAGTTTTGCTATGATACTCTCTGGAAGAATTCTAGTTGCTGAACATGATAATTGACAGAAGCTCATGGATTTCCTGTAGGTTTCACACATATAACTTTGGCTTTAATAAATGTAGTAAATATAACTGATTTCAAAGAGATGGCTTCTAAAATATGATTCTTCTGTATCATTTAAATTACTGTGCCCTTTATCATGCTAGCATGAAAGATTATAAATTTATGTTTTTTGGAAATAGAGTTGTCCCTATATATTCTTTTACTTGTAGATTTTCATTTTAGATGGGCAGAAGCATTAGACATGATCTAATTCAAACCTATATTTTACACTGAAGGAAACAGCCAGACTGTTGGACTGTTCAAGGTTGCACCAATGGTAATGGCAAGCTGTTAAGTCCCAGGCATTTACTGTGAGCAATTCTGTGCCAGGCACTGTATTAAATAAGCACCTTACGTGGATTATCTTAGCTCAAAATAGCTCTGGGATAGCTCCTTTTTATCCATTTTAGAGTTGATGGAATCTAACCTTTGAGACCCAAGAAATATACTTTGAAGTCGCAGAGCAGTAATTGACGATCCTGGACTTTGAAGCCTGATCATTTAGGTCTAGTATATGTGATCTTAATTTCATTGATCTGCTGTCAATAGTTACTTCAACTGACAGAGCTAATATTGGAAACCTGTTTTGCTGAATCCTAATTGGCTACCCTTGCTCTTCGGTTAGCCAGCTTTTTCTAACTAGTGCTTCCTGCAAAATCTTTAAAGGTATTCATGCTGTGATAGAATTTTTCTACAGAAATCTAAACTTTCACAATTACTTTTCTAGCCTTTTTTAAAATATGTATTTTAACTGGTTCTTAATCACTATATAAAGAATATACAAATATTTCTCAGGTACCATCCTTATAAATATTTCATCTCTAATACAACAGCTATCTCAATTTGAATTAGGACTATATTATATTCTATCTACACTCAAGGTTTTATGTTCTTAATGCCAGTTAAACCTTTGTGAGAAAAATTAATTTAAAAATAAATTTTCTTCTCACTTTATCTGAAGTCTGTTCTCAGTTCTTGTAAATATAATACATTTTCATATCAACCACAATGATGAGCTGGAACAATATAATCATTTTTGTATCCTAAGATTATTTTTGAAATCTTAGGAATTTTAGGGGGGAAAAAAGGAAGAAAGTGAGGACCCTGAATCGCACAAAATTTTTGTTTTTATATCAGCGTACAGGTTTTTAGAAACCAACAAAAAAAGTGGTAATAAAATAATTCCGTACCTAAAAATAACAAGGTATATTCTTTGTCTATGTCAGTAAACATTTTTAAATGTTTTTGCAGTTTCCTTTCCTCTACTGTGTTCTCAGCACAGTGCCAGCCAATAAATGTTAGGATGTAAAAGGGATTTTAAAAACTATGATACTTAACTTTACTAGTTTGGTATAAGTATTTCATAATATGATAATGTTGCTATTGCCTGGTTTCTTAGCATACTAATTACTAAATTCACTCGAAAACATTCTATTTGCTTTTTGGTTTTTGTCAGGTAAGAGGGTAATTAAAAATCCCCTTAAGGAATTTTTAGACTACTTTTGTTTTGTTTTTTTTGTTTTTATAATTTATCAGAGTAACATTGGTTAATAAGATTATAGGTTTTAAGTGTACATTTCTATGATGAATGATCTGTATACTGCATTGTGCTCTCACCATCCAAAGAAAGATCATCTTCCGTCACCATATATTTGGCCCAAGGCTAGGTTTTGAGTCCAGAATTAGGCTAGTTTAGAGCCCACATACTTGTAGTAAACAAAAATGTTTTACACCTTTTGGATTATTTCCTATGTCGAATCAAAACTGGTCTAATCAAATGGCCTCTTTTTTAAAAGCTGTATGCCTGCATATATTTATAAAATGAAGACAAAAGAAAAATAACAAAAGATAGCCTAATCTTGCATGAGAGATTTCGCATTCTGAGTATGGCTCTAGGTTGCCTTTTTTTCTGTGATTTTATGGTAATTAAAAGGAAATGGGTTGGGGGGGCGGGGAGTTGGGGGTTAATGAGGGGATGAGGACACATTTGTAATACCTTAACCAATAAAGAAATTAAAGAAAAAAAAAGGAAATGGGTATATCTACATTTTAGATACTTAAAAAACATGGGTGATATATAAGGGACCTAAAAACTATACTTTGAAGACTTAAATGTTCACAAGATTCCTTTTATTGTTACCTATAATTCACCATTAAAATAAAATAACTTGTATCTGTCTAGGATTAGGAAACAGATGCATAAACTTCTTATATTTGTAGCCTGTCCTTGGCCTTAAGACACCATAAAGTCTTGTGGTTTTTTGAGTATATGATTAAATACACTAATATGCTTCATAATTCATTGTGCTAAAACTTCTAAAGTTGTTTTATGACCAAATTAGTATAATCCCTAAGCTGTTGAGGCTGGGAGGAAGGTAGCCCAGGGTGGTCAGGAGCCAGTAAAGAAACTCAACTGTAATCTAACTGAGGCAGAAATGAACTAGAGAGGGAAAAGATTCAGGGCTCCAATCTGTTACTTCATGCTCTCTGTTTTCATTTTGTGCCAAAATGCTGTGCGTACAATTAGTGTTTCTACCTTTCTCTAATAATTTGCTTTCTTCCTTTTCTATAGAGAGAAACTTTTTTATAAGATTGGCTTAGCACTGGCCAGTGCGTCTCAGTTGGTTGGGCTTCATCCCGTCCCCAGAAGAGTTGCTGGTTGGGTTCCGGTCAGGGCACATGCCAAGGTTTCGAGCTTGATCCCTGTTGGGCATGCAGGAAGCAGCTGACCAATGTTCCCATCTTATATCAATGTTTCTCTCTTCCCTCTCCCTTCTCCTCTCCCTAAAAATCAATTTTAAAAAAATCTTAAAACTTAAGATTGGGTCAATTGCTAAGCAAAGTTTCCAGTGTAGGGTGATCTTACTAGTTGATTAGTGTGCATTACTAATTCTTACTAGTCCAGCTCAGACTTTATAGCCCATCTGAGTTTTGATTCTCCCCTAATTTGTTGAACTTTTCTAGAAGCCTGCCCAAATTCAGATCCTTAGTAATCTTTCCAAAATGAAAAATCTATAGGTTTTCTCTTGGTTAAGGCACTGGTGGACCCAATGCTTATGTTTACTCTCATTCTTGATTATCTGTATCTGACTGAAATGCTGTTCATATGGTCAGTGGTCCAGGAGCAGTTTGAATCTCAGTATTTAATCCTTGATAGCATCTCTCCACTTAAATAAAGGGGGCCACCGTTTTTGGTAGGGAAACTATGTACAGTCTAGAAAATTCCATCTGGTATTAGCTTCTTTCTCTTATTTTCCCATAGAGGCAAACAATGCAATGTTATTACCTAAACAAGCATTTTAAAATATAAAGCCTAATGTGAGTTTAGAAGATAATGAGCATTAAACTTCACTGACATTAATAGGACATTTTCGAAATATTTAAAACATACTTAGAAAGTGTCCCTCTGTTGACAGTCTAATAAAACTTAAGTCTTTCAGTGCTTATTATTAAATGCAATATAAAGATATTATATTTGCATAGCACTTGAGAGGTTGAAAGGTACTTTCACAGCACCTTAAATTTAATCTTCATATTATATAGGAAGTTACTTAACATTAAGTGTGAATTTCAAATAAGGTAATACTCAGTGATTGAAATCAAAGTGGCTAAGTAACACTGTAAAATTCTCAAAGTTACCAGCGAAGTTCTAGTTAGGATGGATTATAATTATTCTAACCCAATTTGGCACACCACATCTTTAGGATTTTGATAAGAGGTTTCAGTAGGTTTTTCTGCTCTAGCTGCCATAATTTCTCTCAGAGTAGCTGCTCAGCACGTCCCCAGTTCCTTTGTTTTTTATGGACAGTGTGACTGGTGATTCGTGTTTAGTCTTTTTTCCCTCACTCTTTCAGTCTTTGGATCTCTAACAAGCATTGCCAGATAGAACCATAATGTGGTTATGATTTTACTTGGGAGGAAGACAGCTTTCACTTGAAGGGTAAATACTTTTCTTTGCTAGATACATTTTTAGCCTAAAAAAAATTCTCACGATCTTAAAAGAAATTCAGAATTTTAGGTAAGTATATGTGTCTTTTTACCATTTCAGTATCTTAATCTTTTTTGTGTCACTTAGTTTATCGGAACATACAGTGCAGCACATCAAGACTAAATTGTCTTGGACTAAATAACACTGTTCTTTCCCAACCCAAAATGTATTTCTTTGTGGGAATTTTTAAACATTTTTCACTGAAAGAGAAAACAGTTTGCCTGTTATGGAAAATTAAAATACAGGAAACAAAAAGAATATTAAGAATCATAATCCCACATATCCACCAATAATCTTTTAATATTTTTGGTTCTCCTAAACTATTTTCTGCAGTAGAGTGTGTATGTATGTGCTTACACACTCCCATGTGTGATGAGTCAGGTTTAAGAAATTAGGCTACAGATAATATTTCACAACCAGCCTTTTCATACATCTTTTTCATGTTTGATGGTAAAGTTCTATCATGTTCATTTTTTAAAAGTTGTGTCCCATTGTACCATAATTTAATTAACCAGAGTTCCTCTGATGAATGTTTAGCTTGCTCCCAGTTTACTTGCACTAAAATGTTCTTATATGTACATCTTTTTTGCTTGTCTGATTAAATTTTCATTTCATTGTAGCTTAAATCCCCAGAGGAAGACTTTTGAGTCAAAGATGTGTCTTGAGTTACAGTCCTGTCATTTGTTATGTCTATCATTACTACTGAATTAACACCATGTAATCATTAAAAAAAAACCCAAAAACTCTATTTGTTTTCTAATGAAAAAATTTTAGTGTGCCAGTTTTTTAACTTCTTTGTTTAGATCACAGTTCTTTTTACTCTAGAATTGCTATGATGCAATTATAACACATGGTCAAAATATTTATATTTTAGCATTTTGCAGTATGATTCATCAATTATTATTGCTTTTTTAGCTTTAGTTTTTCTTACCAAATGTTTGGTGGGTTGTAGTGATTGTTTCCCACCAGCCTTAATTTTTATCATTACCTATAGCAGTGATTGAATTATAAATGCCTTCAAATTCACAAGCTAGTATATCTCTATTTATTAGATGCTGCTATAAAGCATTTATTTAAGGTATAGTTAACTAGAATTTCAAGAACAATGACTCAGATGGTATGCAAAGAAGTTGAGATGCAAAACAGGTTTTAAAATAGCTGCAGGACAGTTTTTCATTCTGTTTTTCTTATTTGTAAGAAAGTAAATCATGCACAACTTTGGGCAGACAGCATTCCAGGGGATGAAGGACAAAGAGTTCATGTGACTGTCACATTTCTTGCTTTCCAGCCTCTGAATTCACTTTGTTCCCCCATTCATCTGGTGTTACTATGAAGGCATTTTTTTTTCCCAGTATCTTTTAACCTTTTTTATCTTTAGGAAAGATTTTTTTCCTGCAAATTAGTGTCTCCATATGCCACATATAAGTGGATATTTAAAACTGACAACTCAGTCATATTATAGTTCATTTCAGTAGCTTTTTAGGAGCCTGTTTTGACACCTTCATATCCAAAATTTTAGAATAAATGTCAGTACATTCAATTAGAGCTAATTAGGGGGGAAATTTGAACAAGTAGAACATCACTTGTGTCAGTTGAAGTAGTGGTCTAATTTGATATGTTTTAAGTATTAGAAAAACAAATTTAGCTCTTTATATTCTATACTGCTATGCACTAAGTATTGCATACTAGACTATCAGTAAGAACATGGAAGAACGCGGACAGCTTCCATCATGTTCTCATTACAATTACCCTTTTGCATAATAAATTACCTATGGACAAACTGCCCTGTCCAATTTGAGAGCCTAGCCACAATGTGATTATTCAAACTTAAGTAAATTAAAAGTTTAGTTCCTCGGTCACACTGGCTGCATTTCAGCGTATTGGATAGCAGAGATATAGAACACGTCCATTATCACAGAAAGTTCTATTGGACACTGCTGGTTAAAAACAGGTAGCTACATTAGGGGGTAGAATTGAGTACGGGTTGTTATTTTCATATCCTTTTAGAATAAACAGTTGTTATGTAGGTGTGATTCCCCAGCTTCCCAACTGTTCTAATGAAAATGTAGATTTCACTGAGAGAGGTTTTTCTTTTTGACAAGTCATTTGCAATTTTTGCATCTCCTATCAACACAAGAACTCAGATCTACCCTGGCTTCCTTGGTTATTTAAGGTTAAGTTTATCTTTTAACATTGAGTCCTGGTGCATGAAATTCGTGCACAGGTGCAGTCCCTAGGCCTGGCGGGCCATCAGAGCTGTAGCATCTGGCATGGAAAGGCAGGTCCCAGTTGACCTCTAGGCCCTGGGCAGTACCTGGGCCCCTGGGCCCTCACATGCCCCCTTCAGCCTGAGTGTCCACGCAGAGATGCGGTGAGCATGGCCAGGCACAGTGTGGGCCTCTGGGCCACCCAGCGGCGCTGAATGGAAGCCGGGCGGGCAGCACGCTCTCTCCTGGTCGGCCTCAAAGACCGGCTC